TGAATGAGAATCAAACTGCACTCGTTGGTGTGGCGGTCGCCTCCACTTTTCTGCCGCCATTTATAAACACTGGTCTTCTGTGGGCTCTGACCACTCATTTGCAGATAAGAGGTCTCCATCAACAGTCCGTTCCCTACAATATGAGCGGTACTATAATGTACTTAAAGCCCGCTTACGCTCCACAGAGTGGATACACTCCCGTATATTCCTATGATATGAGAATAGAGAATACGTTATTGGGTTGTGTGAGTATGGTTTTGACTGCTCTCAACATTATTTGCATGCTTGTCGTCGCGTATATTGTGCTCAAGGTATTCACTCATGTTATTATTTAATGATATTTTATTCATACAATTACTTTATGGCAAAAACAGATTAAAGAAATAGTGCCCTTAGAAAAGATGGCTCCGGGAACTCAACGATTCTTTAAACATGATTTGAAGGTTAGTAAAGGAAAAGCCGTTACAAAATATATATAAAGTGTTGGGTTTTTATTTGATTTACAGATCGCTCGGAAGTACAACCGAAAGTCAATGGCCACCGGAAATAATGATCCAATTGGACAGCAAATATTGGAGGAATGGGCCGTAAGTTTGAACAAATTGTTAAACACTGTATTTGAATAAAAGCTAGATTTTGAATATTGAATATTGAATTTGACAGGAAATCTCTGGACTCGATAAAAACCAAATGTTGAGCGAAACACCAGAAGCCAGAGTTACCCAATTGCAGACACTCTATGATATTGTATGTGTTTTATTTATCCTTTGATAAATCATTGCGTAAAATCATATTTAATAATAGGCTCAAGACGTGGAATCAGATGAAACATTCCAGACCGTAATGGGCAAAGCCGTCGGAAACCCTAATCAGGTTTGAATTTATTTATTAAATCCCAAACTATATGCAAATTGTTATATATTTGTAATTTGTTGTAATAGTTTGGTTTGGGACGACGTCTCACACAACCGGTACTGTTCGGAAGGGGCGCCCGAAAGAGCATGGCTTCCAACACCCAATTCCCACAAGTGCTCACTCTTGGACAGGATATGCTAAAAGGACAGACCGGACGCCGCTATACAGTTAGTCCAGCGGTTCTTAAAGCCAGAAATAGTCGAGCGTTTATGACGGAAGCATCGGATGATAATTCTCCGAACTCGACAATGGGTTCCGTTCGCGGCCTTAAACCAAATGAGTTAATCTCAGAGCAGGGAAGGCGTCGGAGCAGTAATTTATTGCGAAAATCGTTGAAAAATTCGTCACATTTGCCGTATAGTGTTTGGCCGAGTAGTCAACCCCCGAACAGATCCGACTCTATTGTTCCCAATTTGGGGGTTCGGAGGCGAACCCTCTATAGTCCCAAATTAGTGCCTAACAACGAATCCACTGGATTTTAAAACATAAGACTATCTTGATAAATTATAAGTTATAGACATATTAACTAATAAATGATTTGTCAATAACTTAACATTTATTATAATATTTTCAAATTTGTATTGTTTGTGAATTACATGTTTTTGTTAAACGAAATCGTATTAAATTTTATTTTTGCTATTATGTAAATTTTTCTTATTAATAAATCATTCTTATTAATAAAATTTAATCTTAATTTAAATCAAAGTCTAATTTCAATTATTTATAGTTGTTTATTGATGATAAAACAATAATAAAAATTTATAGTTAATTAAGTAGAAAAATCAAAACAATTTATTAATTAAAATAATACATTCAAATAATTTAGTATTTCACTTGTATTTATATTTAATCTGTGGTTTGTTTGTTAGATTCCTTCAAATCTTTGCTTTTATTTAGTTTTACATACTTTTCATACGAGAAGATCATAAAAGTGACGATAAGAGTGAAAATTACACAAAGAATGAATACAATCGACGGAACCATCATATTCTGGGTCCCAGTATTTAACGTTATATTTGCTGTGTTTTAAAAATTAGTTTTTAAACATCTACTATAATGATATAATAATACAAACCGTTTGTCTGATTCTTGAAATCCATTAATAATAACAAATGAATTTGAAATTGTCGTCGAAAATGGTTTGCAAATAACAAAAATTTACTTATATTTCACAATTAGACTCTCAATTAT